TCCTGAGTCCTCTCTTCCTGCGCTTGCCGACCCTGAGTCGGACTCTCTTCGTGCTGCCAGCCCTACTGTCACGCGTCTGCTTGCTACTGTCGTCACTGACCCCTCTTTTGAGTCCACTGCTGCGTCTGCTCTAGTCGCTGAGCTCGTCGACTTTGCTGCTCGCTGTCGTCTCGACTACGCTGCTAGTCTTGTTGCTGAGTCTGCGTTTGTCTGTCCTCCGTCCGTCGGGGGTGAGTGTGCTCTTGGCACGGACGTCCTAGAGGACAGGCAGGAGGAGTTACAGTGTCTAGCGGCTGCTTCACCTCATCTCGCGTCTGTTCTGCTTGCCCCTGAGGGAGACCCGGATGCACTAGACATCCCGACTCCGCGTTCTTACGCGGAGGCCGTAGAGGGTCCCTACTCCTCTCAGTGGCAGGCAGCTATGGATGCAGAGATGGCTTCCTGGAAGTCCACAGGCACCTACGTTGACGCGGTTCCCCCTCCTGGGGCGAACATCGTCAGTGGCATGTGGATCTTCAGGGTGAAGCGGCCGCCGGGCTCTCCACCTGTCTTCAAGGCACTGTACGTTGCTCGTGGCTTCAGTCAGCGGCAGGGAGTTGACTACTTTTAGACCTTCTCTCCCACCCCGAAGATGACTACTCTTCGGGTGCTGCTGCACATAGCCGCTCAGCGCGACTACGAGCTTCACTCTCTCGACTTCAGCACTGCGTTCTTGCAGGGTAGCCTGCACGAGGAGATCTGGCTTCGCCGTCCACCTGGCTTCACTGGGACTTTCCCTCCTGGCACCCAGTGGAGCCTCCGACGGCCAGTCTACGGTCTCCGCCAGGCACCGCGTGAGTGGCACGACACACTGAGGACTACGCTTGCGGCTCTTGGGTTTGCTCCTTCTACTGCTGACCCGTCGCTGTTTCTTCGCACCGACACTTCCCTGCCGCCGTTCTACATCCTCGTGTACGTCGACCAGTCTACGCAGTGGTCGTCACAGGGTTACACCTTCAGCCTTGGTTCCGGCTCTGTCTCGTGGCGGTCTACTCGCTCGTCTTCAGTTCTCGGCTCCAGTTGTGAGGCTGAGATCTACGCCGGGGCCATGGCTGCACAGGAGCTTTGCTGGCTCACCTACCTGCTGACTGACCTTGGAGAGCCGCCTCGTTCTCCTCCAGTGCTGTACGTAGACAACAAGGCCATGCTGGCCTTGTGTCGAGAGCAGCGCTTGGAGCACAGAACGAAGCACATTGCTCTCCGCTACTTCCTTGCTCGTGAGCTGCAGCAGCGTGGTCAGTTGCGACTTGCGTACGTGGCCTCTGAGGCCAACACTGCTGATGTGTTCACCAAGGCACTCGCGCCTTGTGACCATCAGCGCTTTTGCACCCAGCTGGGTCTTGTGCCTGTCTTGCCTCACTTGCTCTCCTCTTGACTTCACTTGTACTATGACATATATATATACCTGCTCTTGCTTGTCTAGTTTTATATATATGTCTGTACTCCTGCATGTGAACTGGCCTCTGGCCCTGCTCTTGTGCTCGGACTGTGTGGTGACTTTGTGATCCACCCTGAGCTTGTTTTGCTTTGCTTTGCTTGACTGGTCTTGTGACCCCTTGTTCTCCCCCACTTAGCCTATGGGGGTGTGTCAGAGTATTATAGCTGATGCATGTTTGTAGGCTATAGTGGGGTAGCACATATGGGGTACAGAGTTTCTAGGGTTGTATTTGTACCCAATCTTTCCTTAGTCATTCATTCCTGTTCGCTTATTCTCACACGGTTCTCACTCAGTATTTTAAAAACTGCTTCAATGTCCTGTAGGTGCTGTGCTCTGTCGTGGTTGAATATTAAGATGTCGTCAAAGTACACGATGACGCACTTGTCTAAAAGCGGGTGGAAGGCTTAATTCATGGTTATTTGAAAAGTGGCGGGGGCGTTGGTCAGTTTGAAGGGCATGACGGTGTATTCGAAGGATCCGTAGCGTGTTCGGAAGGCTGTTTTCGGGCAGTCGGGTGGGTTGACTCGGATCTGGTGGTAGCGTCCTCGAAAGTCGATTTTCGAGAAAACCTGGGCTGTTGGCAGCTGGTCGATCAGTTCGTCGGCTCGCGAGATGGAGTAGCATGATTTGATGGTAAACCTGCTCAGTGTGCGATAGTCGATGCTTATGCGAAAACCCTGTCAAAGATAGCATGTAGAAAGATAGAACACGAAAGAGGGTTTGCACTAGCAGGCAGTTGAGTACATATAGGAAACCCTAAATTAGGCTGTACCCGGTATAGAGTACCCCACTGCAGGCTAGACAAATACAACATTCTGGCACACCCCCATAGCCAAAGTGAGGTGTAATCAGCACAATAAGCAGGTAGAGCAATAGTTCACAATGATAAGCAAAGCTAGAGGCTATCACAGAGGGCAAGTGAGGAGGAGAGACTGTGGGGGGCGAGAAGATGGGAGGCGACGGCTGAAGCTGCAGACACAGTGTAGCGGCTGGCTCAGTGGCTACCGAAGCAATGGCCCGGACTTCAGGAGTATCTGGCTCCGCGGCTACTCCGAGCGGCTGGAGCAACTGACCCACGGGCGACTGGCGACTACCGGAGATTGTAGCCTCCGGACTACTAGCGCTGCGGACGATAAGACGGCTGCCTCCTCTCAACCTCTCCCAGCTGTCCCACACCCCTTTCACACACCCTCTGATGTTCCCCTAGCACTCCTCACACGCCACCCCCCTAGTACCACTCCAACGACTCCCACACATCCACCCCCCCTCAGCGGTAGCTGCAGCAGTGGGAGACGGAGGAGGAGGAGGAGCAGGGGACGACACACATACCCGTCACCCCCACACTCGCCTCCCCCAAACCCTAACACAGGCAGCACAGGGCGGGAGCGGGTGCACGCACGGCAAGGCAGGTGCGCGCGGGCCTGGCGCAGGCCGTACGGGCCGCGCGCGGGCTGTACGAGTCGCGCGCGGGCCTAGCGCAGGCCGTACGGGCCGCGCGCGGGCCTGGCGCAGGCCATACGGGCCGCGCGCGAGCTGTACGGGCCACGCGCGGGCCTGGCGCAACAGTTCGTTCAGGCGGTCCTGCGTGAACGTCGTGCCGTCGATATGCTCGGCCATTACGAAGGGCGTCGGCTCGTCTTAGTCTAGGCGCAGTCGTGGCTGCACGCGTTTACGAGAGAACGCGAGGACAGCGGCTCCTAAGGGCTAAGGTGCGTGAGTCCCTTCGAGTGAAAAATAAAAAGTTGATTTCTTGGGGTGCGGAGATGCGCAGTCCGAAAGAAAGTGGCTTGATAAGGGCGCTTCACCTGAGGGGCGGAAGGCCAAAATCCGAACCGACGTATCAGTTTGACTGTACGACAGTATCCCATATGAGTTCGAACACAAATACGTACAATGAGCGAATGTGACACAGGCCATCACAGGTGACGCCATCGCTATTCGCACACGCGGTCTGTTCGAACACAGCGACGTCGCCCACAAAAGAGCGACGTCGCCAAGCATTGGGTCCCAAACATTGGCGACGTCTGGCCGGGTCGCAAACGTTCATGGGCGACCCGGAAGACTGTGGACCAATCATATCAGTCGTTTGTGCGGAATTGTGTGTCACCTATCCCAACCTGTTCGAACAAACGTGTTCGAACGTGCGGGATGATGAAAATCGTGCTTGAGGTGACAGCTCTGTTCAAATTGGCGAAATTGTGCTTCGCGACGTCACGAAAACCACTACGAACATAGGCGAAACTAGTAACGTTTCGCCTGTTCGAACGAGTGTGTTGTTCGAACCGACAGGTGAAGCGCCCTAACAAGTGTTACGGGTGCAATGAATCGAGGTAGCGAGGATTGCACTAGGTGTCAAACGAGTACAAAATGTGAGCGAAGGCATGAGCAAACATTTATACGCAAAACATGCAAACCGTAACGCGGTGCGTGCGAGCTAGCTAGTGCTAGGCTGGCATCGAGGTTCGGGCTAGTCCCGAAGGGTAGGCTGACACAGTCAGCGGTGCGTGGTTTGGTGAAAAAGTGCGCGCGAAGTTGGCGAAGGCCCCGGCTGCTGCTGTACGCGATGTTGCAGGATGCGCTAAGGAATGTCACAAAATTGACAACCTCCCTCGCGCCACAATTTCGTTCGCTAGCACCCATCTCGCTTCGCATTTGGAACAGGCAGCATATTATTCTGGTTCTTGAGCTTGGGTTGTAGCTTTACGGTCGCGAAAATTACGGGCACGTTGCAGCCTGACCTTGACAGCCCAATTTAGAAACCTGGAACTACGTTAGACGCCTAGCGTCGTTCTGTTGTCGCCGTAATGTGTTGAGGAAGCCCGTAGTAGGAAGGCAGGAAAAGGTTGTTCGATTCTTGCGGGCAAGGGGCTAAACGCGGGTACTTGACACCGTTGCACTGTGGATCAACATAACCACAGTTCCTTAGCAAAACAAGCGGTAAACCATCGTCAGTCGCAGCAATTCCTGTTTCGCTATCGTCTCCTGCTGGTAAATCAAGCCTGCCAAACAAAAGGAGCAGAGGAGAGGCTTTTGTACGCGCCACAGTCGTTCTGGTCCTTTCTTATTGTATATGCAACGGTCTAACCTCAGCCTTTCTTCTTCTGTCTGCTGCCAACGGTGCTTGTTTAAAACACACGGTTGCTTAGCTTGCTGACATGGCCTAAATAGCGCACTGCTGACGTGTCACACTCCAGCTCTCGCCATGTCAGCAGCCAGCCGTCGCCGAAAGAGCATCAATGCGCTGGCGTCCCCCACTCGCGTGTCGACACGTCGGACAGCACGGACGGTCATTGACTTGGCGTGTGATGATACAGAAGACAGGGATGGGAGTCAGGAAAGGGAGGAGAAAGATGGTGTCCGCGACAATTGCGAGAAAAATGGAAACCGGGCGAAAAAGGGTAACACTGAGAGGGAAGCGGAAGGAACGGGGGAAGAGGATAGAAGGGAAGGAAAACGGTTGTCCAAGAACGGGCGTGGAGACAGGAGGGGAAGAGGTAGAGCACCGGGGAGAGGCGGGAGAAGGATGTTGGTAGGGAGAACTGGAAAGGACAGTGACTCTGACCGGGACCACCAGGGTGACAGAGGCGGTCTGGGTGACGACCAGGGGGACCAGGTTGACCGGGTTGACCTGGTTGACCAGGAGGAAAACCAGGGTGATAATAACGACCGGGTTGACCGGATTGACCTGGTTGATCAGGGCGACCGGGGTGATCGGAATGAAAGTGACGACTTCGAAGCTACAGGTGTCCAGGGGAGTCGAAGCGAAGCTATTGAGGTGGTAGACGATGACGTGGCACGAGGAGATGCTGACGTGGCACCCTTGGATCGTGTCCAGCCAGCAGACAGAACCAGGGATGACGTGGCAGCAGCGTCAGGGGTCATTGAATGGGCTCCGTCAAGCAAGGAGTACAAATACGCGAGGGGAATAGAGCCCCCCTCTCGCTGCAGATTCGTGCTGGGATTAGAGGCTCCTCACCCTCCTCACAACAGTGCTGTAGAATCGCCTGGAGGCTCTGAGGAAAGAGCTCTAGGGACTTGTGAGGGTATAGGGAAGAGCGAACCACGGAGCAGTGGCTCTGAAGCAGGGCTGAGCAGTGCTTGCGGTGAGGAGAGGGGTGAAAGTAGAAGCTCAATGGAAGCGGAAGAGGAGGGAGAGGTGGGAGAGGAGAGAGAGGAGGGGAAGGAGGGGGAGAAGAGGGAGGAGGATGAGGAGGAGGAGGCGGGAGAGAAGGGGGGGAAGAAGGGGAAGGAAGGGGAGAAGGGGGAGAAGGAAGGGAAGAAGGGAGAAGGAAGGAAGAAGGAGAAGGATGGTGATGTGAGAGGAGGTCGTGGCAGGCTTCATGAACATGAGGAGGTGAAAGATGGTGGTCCGGAAGGTGTCTGTAGGCTTAGTGAAGATGCTTGTATGGGGGATGGACGTAAAAAGGATGGGGCGAAGGGGAACCAGGTGGAGAGGGGAGGAGGTGTGGAGGGTGGTGGTCACGAGAGGCGTGGAGATGAGGGGGGTGGAAAGGAAGGGGGTGGAAAGGAGGGGGGTGGTGGCAAGCGGGGTGGTGGTGGTGTGGATGGTGGTGGTGTGGATGGTGGTGTTGGCGATGGGTGTAAGGACAGCTGGGCAGCTGATTCTGCTGCAGCAGGAGGGAGAGATGGAAAAGGGGAAGATGAGGACAGGGGAGACATGGAGGGGGGAGATGGGAATGGGGGAGAGAAAAGGGGCGATGGGAAGGCGGGAGATGAAGGGAGGAGGAATGGGAAGGGTGGTAAGGAGGGGCCACACGCTGCAGTGCATGAGGCAGGAACCACCACCCAGCAGCACTGTGCTCTTATCGAGCCTGCTAGTAATGAGAATGCTCTTCTCGACCCATCGACCAGTCAGCAACAAGGCACTGTTGCAGTGTCATCAGCGGTTGTGACTTGCAAAAAGGGTGCTATCCCACCATCAGCTCTTGAGACGTCTGAGAAGGGTGCTATCGTGGTGGCATCGTCCCCTGAAGGCCAGCATGCCGCCTGTCACCCGCCTTCCCCCCGCCCGTTCGTCTTCACCAAGGACCAGTGCCAGCAGTGGCTGGACAGGTGAGGGCTGCACACGTGAGGGCTGCACACGTGAGGGCTGCACACGTGAGGGCTGCACACGTGAGGGCTGCACACGTGAGGGCTGCACACGTGAGGGCTGCACACGTGAGGGCTGCACACGTGAGGGCTGCACACGTGAGGGCTGCACACGTGAGGGCTGCACACGTGAGGGCTGCACACGTGAGGGCTGCACACGTGAGGGCTGCACACGTGAGGGCTGCACACGTGAGGGCTGCACACGTGAGGGCTGCACACGTGAGGGCTGCACACGTGAGGGCTGCACACGTGAGGGCTGCACACGTGAGGGCTGCACACGTGAGGGCTGCACACGTGAGGGCACTTGCAGCTAAGGTGCTTAGCCAACAGTATGGATCTCTTCCATCCCATGCCATCCCATGCCATCCCATGCCATCCCATGCCATCCCATGCCATCCCATGCCATCCCATGCCATCCCATGCCATCCCATGCCATCCCATCCCATCCCATGCCATCCCATGCCATCCCATCCCATCCCATCCCATCCCATCCCATCCCATCCCATCCCATCCCATCCCATCCCATCCCATCCCATCCCATCCCATCCCATCCCATTCATAAAGCGCACCGCGCCTTGCTTGAGCCACCCATGTCTTCCCCACCGGCTTGTGCACCCCTGTGCTCTGCTCTGCTCCGCCTTGGCAGGGTTGGAGGGCGAAGTGACTTCTGAGTGGACTCAAAAGTCATCCCACCCCATCCCATCCCAATCATTAGAGCTCACCATGCCTTCCACTACCCGTGTCCCCCACCGGCTTGTGCACCCCTGTGCTCTGCTCTGCTCCGCCTTGGCAGGGTTGGAGGGCGAAGTGACTTCTGAGTGGACTCAAAAGTCATCCCACCCCATCCCATCCCAATCATTAGAGCTCACCATGCCTTCCACTACCCGTGTCCCCCACCGGCTTGTGCACCCCTGTGCTCTGCTCTGCTCCGCCTTGGCAGGGTTGAAGGGCGAACGTTCACGTACCCCACCAGGTATGTATGCTGTGGTGTGACAGTGATACAATGTGGGTGGGGTGGGTGGGGTACGGTGCACAGTGGTACAGTCTAGGTATGTTGTCTCAAAGGTGTGGTGTGGTGTGACACGACACAGTGTGGTGCACATGTGTACTACAGTGGTACTATCTAGGTATAATGTGCGTGGTGTGTGAATGTGCGGTGCAGTTCGGTGCAAAGTGGTTCTGTCCGTGCATGCATACTTGCGACGGCAGGGCCGGTGGGTTGAGTGAAGTCAATCCTTCTACATCGCACCATCAGGCCCCTCCCACTCCCCTCTCTTCCTCAATCTATTGAACTACTTGTTTTATCTGTGATTCGTGAAAGCGTGCAGGCAGCAGCTGGGTGCGGTGGAGGTGAATGAAGCGTACCTGCAGCGGCTGGAGGCAACGGAATAAGTGGAGCCAAACCCTCTTCTCCCTGCTGTTACTCCCCTCATTGTCCCTTCCCTCCCTCCCACCCTCCTGTGCAGGCAGCAGCTGGGTGCGGTGGAGGTGAAGGCAGAGGGCTTGCAACGGCTGGGGGCGACGGAGTGGAGTGAAGTGAAGTCGGTCTGACCTTTTTCGTCCCTCCATCCCTCTCGTGCCTTCCATCCCTCCTCACCCTTGTCGACCCCCCTATCCGTGCAGGCAGCAGCTGGGTGCGGTGGAGGTGAAGGCAGCGGACTTGCAGCGGCTGCTGCCTGGGGAGTGTTTGAATGACACGGTCATCGACTTTTATGTCAAGTAGGTGTGTCATTGATTTGAGTTCAAGTGTGTGTGCTTTCGGCAGGTTCCCTCCCTGTTTCAGTAAGTAGGTAGGCTTGCACGTCTCAGTCTCAAATATGGTGTGCACGGGAGTTCTTTCGCGAGCCCATGGAGAAACTGGTTACAGCAATGTTCAAAATCAGTCACACCTGTCCCCACGTGTCAAATCATTAGGCTCTTGAACGTTTGTTGAGATCCAGTTATTGCACGTCGCCATGTGCCCTTGTCCAGGTTCATTGAACAGACGATGCTGCAGGAGCCACAGCGGTCGCGGTTCCATTTCTTCAGCACTTTTTTCTCCACCTCGCTCTCCCGCGCCCAGGAGCGATTTGTAAGTGGTGTGTTGTGCAGTCTGGTGGTGTGTTGTGCAGTCTGGTGGTGTGTTGTGCAGTCTGGTGGTGTGTTGTGCAGTCTGGTGGTGTGTTGTGCAGTCTGGTGGTGTGTTGTGCCGTCTGGTGGTGTGTTGTGCAGTCTGGTGGTGTGTTGTGCGGTCTGGTGGTGTGTTGTGCGGTCTGGTGGTGTGTTGTGCGGTCTGGTGGTGTGTTGTGCGGTCTGGTGGTGTGTTGTGCGGTCTGGTGGTGTGTTGTGCGGTCTGGTGGTGTGTTTTGCGGTCTGGTGGTGTGTTGTGCGGTCTGGTGGTGTGTTGTGCGGTCTGGTGGTGTGTTGTGCGGTCTGGTGGTGTGTTGTGCGGTCTGGTGGTGTGTTGTGCGGTCTGGTGGTGTTGTGCGGTCTGGTGGTGTGTTGTGCGGTCTGGTGGTGTGTTGTGCGGTGTGGTGGTGTGTTGTGCGGTCTGGTGGTGTGTTGTGCGGTCTGGTGGTGTGTTGTGCGGTCTGGTGGTGTGTTGTGCGGTCTGGTGGTGTGTTGTGCAGTCTGGTGGTGTGTTGTGCAGTCTGGTGGTGTGTTGTGCGGTGCAGTGCTCCAGGGGAGCCGCATCGGTCGCGACTCCACTTCTTCAGCACCTTCTTCTCCACCTCGCTTTTCCATGCCCAGGAGCGATTCGTCGTGAGTGTCCCTCTGCTGTGCTGTTGTGGGCAGTGCTGTGCTCTACTCTGCTGTGCGGTGCTGTGCTCCAGCGGAGCCAGCCACAGTGGTCTCAGTTTTTTTTAATCTCTTCAGCACTTTCTTCTCCACCTCGCTTTTCAGCGCCCAAGAGCGATTCGTGAGTGCCCCTCCTGCTGTGTGGCTTCTCTTGGTGCTATGGGTTGCTGTGCTGTTTTGTGCTGTTCTCTCCTGTCCCTGCCATGCCGTGCCGTTGCTTGCAGTGTGGTGTGGTGCAGTGCAGTGCGGTGCTGTGTTGTGCTGTGGAGTTCCCCACGCCCCCATCCCTCTCCCTTCCCCCTTACGCCAGAAGCTGACTAAGGAGCCGCACGATTTGCACCATTTCCCCGCTCGCCAACCTTCCCCCCACCCCTCCCCTCTCCCCACTTTACCCCCCGCCAGAAGCTGACTCAGGACCCACACGAGCTGATGCGCCTGGCAAGGTGCCCTTCCGCCCGCCCTTCAACCAACCCCCCCCGCCCCCCCCCCCCCCCTCCTCCCCCCCCCCCCCCCCCCCCGTGCTCTCCCCATCCCACCCCTCCCCTCTCCCCACTTTACCCCTCGCCAGAAGCTGACTCAGGACCCGCACGAGCTGATGCGCCTGACAAGGTGGACGAGGGGCACGGACATATTCTCAAAGGATTTCATCGTCATCCCCTTCCACGAAGAGTACGCCCCCCTGTTGCTCTCGCCATCTTTGGCCTCTCTGCCCGCGTCTGCCCGTCTCTGCCTGCCTTAGCCCATCCCTTCCCCTCTCTTGTCGTTGTCGGCAAGGACGTGAGGAAGGCGCACCTCTCTACCCCCATGCCCTTACGCACGCCCGCTCCCCACTTGATCCCCAATAACCTTTCAATCCCTCAGGTTTCGCAGCCATTGGAGCCTGGCTATCATATGCTTTCTCAGCAAGGATGTGAGGAAGACCACACGAAAGGCTCCAGGAGAAAGCAGCAAGGGGCCAGGTGAAAACAACAAGGGCTCAGGAGATAACGGCAAAGAGCCAGGCGGTTCAGGAGAAAACAGCAGAGAAACGCGAGGAGCGGCTAGGCTAAGGGAAGAGGGCACGGGGGGCAATAGGAAGGGGAGGGGCAATGGGGGGAAGAGGGGGGAGAGGGGCAAAGGGGGCATCGGGGGTAATGGGAGTGTGGGGAGGGGGAGGGGGAAGGTGGGCGCTTTCCAGAAGATTCCTAAAGGAAGGAGGGCGAATCTGAAGAGAAGCAGGGCGGACATGAAAGGAAGGGGGGTGAGTATGCAAGGAAGAGGGTGGCTTGGGCAAAGCAGGGAAGTGAGAGCATTATTGGAAGGTGGGAGAAGGAGTGCGGCTAGTGAGAGAGGTGCTGACGTGGCAGAGGAGGGTCAGGAGGGTGGCAATAAGGGCGATGGGAAGGGGAGAGGCAGCACTGCTGGCAGAGTGAGGAGGCTTGCTGACGTGGCAGAAGTTGCAGTGTCGGTGGAGGGAGGAGAGGAGGAGGAGGAGGAGGAGGAGGAGGAGGAGGAGGAGGAGGAGGAAGAGGAGGAGGAGGAGGAGGAGGAGGAGGAGGAGGAGGAGGAGGAGGAGGAGGAGGAGGAGGAGGAGGAAGAGAAGGGCGAAGGTGGAAGGGAGGGGGTTGGGGAGGAGGAGGGGTCTGGGAAGGAGAGGCGAGGGGAGGGAGGGAAAAGTGCGAGAGTTGCGAGTGTGAACCAGTTGGTCAACCACCATCCTGGTGATTCTGACAGGGGAAGTCAAGAGAGAGTCACTACCAGGGGTACCAAGCAGTTTGCTGGTAATAGTCCTCACCGTGCGAGGGTGTTGAACCAGGATGTTAATATTCCTGGTGAGAGGGTGTTGAGTGTGCAGGGCAGTGATCTTTTGAGACGTCTCAATAGTCGTCACGGTGGGAGGGTGCTGAGCCAGGATGTGGAACCAGGTGTGAATGGTTCCGGTGGGAGGGTGCTGAGCCAGGATGTGGAACCAGGTGTGAATGGTTCCGGTGGGAGGGTGCTGAGCCAGGATGTGGAACCAGGTGTGAATGGTTCCGGTGGGAGGGTGCTGAGTGTGCAGGGCGGTGATCTTCCCAGTCCCAAGGTGCGTGGTGGCAGGTCGTTTGTGAAACGCAGGCGGTTGGATGCGGTTGATAGGGATGGTGCGATGCGTGATGGGTCCGGGGATAGCGCAGTGGGCTTGGGCGGCATGGGTGGCGTGGGTGGTGTGGGTGGTGTGGGTGGTGTGGGTGGTGTGGGTGGTGTGGGTGGTGTGGCTGGTATAGGTGATGGTATGGTGTGGGGTGTGAGGAAGCAGCTGCAAACACGCAGCAGGGCGAGGGGTAAGGCGAGAGGAGGAGCGCCAAGGGAGGATGAGGGGGAGAAGGAGAAGGAGGAGGGGGAGAAGGAGGAGGAGGGGGAGAAGGAGAAGGAAGAGGGGGAGAAGGAGGAGGAGGGGGGGAAGGAGGAGGAGGGGGAGAAGGAGAAGGAGGAGGGGGAGAAGGAGGAGGAGGGGGAGAAGGAGGAGGAGGAGGAGGAGGAGGAGGAGGAGGAGGAGGAGGAGGAGGAGGAGGAGGAGAAGGAGGAGTGGGAGAAGGAGGAGGAGGGGGAGAAGGAGGAGGAGGAGGAGGAGAAGGAGGAGAAGGAGGGGATTGGTGGTGGTGCAAAGGGGGTGATAGACGTTGGTGGGAGCAGAGGAGTGGAAAGGCGTGGAGGGGCTGATGATAGTGTGGCGGGTCGAGAGGGCGGAGGAGAGAGTGGAGGAGGGGGTGGAGGAGGGGGTGGAGGAGAGAGTGGAGGAGAGGGTGGAGGAGAGGGTGGAGGAGGGGAAATGGGGGATGTGGAAGGGAGGTGTGCAGGGGTGGTTAGTGTGGTTGGAGAAGGGTGTGCGAAGGAGGGGGGAGTGAAGGAGGAAGGTAATGAGGAAAGGGAGGAAGCGGAGGAGGGACGGAAAGAGGGAGAGAAGGAGGAAGGGAAGGAGGGAAGAAAGGAGGGAGGGAAGGAGGGAGGGAAGGAGGGAGGGAAGGAGGGAGGGAAGGAGGGAGGGAAGGAGGGAGGGAAGGAGGGAGGGTTGCAGGAGCATGTGGGGGTGGGAATTAGAAGTGAGGGTGGGGGGATGGTAAAGGAAGGCATGAGGCTTGAGCGGGACGATGTGAGGGGAGTGTGGAGGCTTGGTGGTGGCGAGAAAGAGGCAAGAAAGAGTTTGGATAGGCAAGTGGAAGGAGGCAAAGCCGGGGAGGAGAGGGGAGTGGTAGGAGGGGAGGGTGGTGGGGAGGGAGAGGGGTTTAAAGATGAAGCGAGAGAGGAGGGGGTTGCTGGAGAGAAGGGAAGTCTAGGAGAGGAAGGAGGTGCAGGAACGGAGGAAGCTGTAGGAGAGGAGGGAGAAGGTACTGGAGTGGACAAAGGCTGCAGTTCTAAAGAGGAAACTATTGGAGGGGCGGACAGCAAAGAAGGGGGGCGAAGGGGGGAACGAGGGGAAATGATTACAAGGGATGATTGGAAGAAAGGGGTAGAAGGGGAGGGAGGGGTGAGTGGGGGGGAGGAGGTTGGGATGGTTGAAGGAGAGGTAAGGAGTGGCGATGGGGAAGATCAAGTCCAGGGAGTTGTGGTTGTAGAGGAGGGGAGAGGAGAGGGGAAAGGGGAAGTGGGAGTGTTGGGGGATGAGGAGGAGGAAGGAGAGAAGGAGGAATTGGAGGGGGGAAAGGAGGGGGGAGAGGAAGGGGGAGGAGGGGCGAGAGAGGAGCGGAGAGAGGAAGGGGGGGGAGAGGCGAGAGAGGAGGGGAGAGAGAAGAGGAGAGAGGAGGGACGAGAGGAGGGGAGAGAGGAGGGGCTAGAGGAAGGGAGTGAGGTGAAATATGGAAAAGAGGAGGAGGAATCCGAGAAGATGGAAGGGAATGAGGAAGGTGGAGAGGAAGAAAATGTGGGGGTTAAGGAGGAAGAGAATGAGGTGATGAAATTGGTGAGGGTTGAGGAGAGAAAAGAGGAGAGGAAAGAGGAGATGGAAGAGGAGAGAAAAGTGGAAGGTGGAGAGAAAGAGAAAGTGTGGGAGAAAGAGGAAGAGAAAGAGGAGAGGAAAGGGGAGAGGAAAGGGGAGAGGAAAGGGGAGAGGAAAGGGGAGAGGAAAGGGAGAGGAAAGGGGAGAGGAAAGGGGAGAGGAAAGGGGAGAGGAAAGGGGAGAGGAAAGGGGAGAGGAAAGGGGAGAGGAAAGGGGAGAGGAAAGGGGAGAGGAAAGGGGAGAGGAAAGGGGAGAGGAAAGGGGAGAGGAAAGGGGAGATGACAGAAGAGGGGAAAGGGGACAGGGAAGAAGAGAAGGAAGAGGAGGTGAAAGAGGAGAGGGAAGACGAGAGGAAAGAGGAGAGGAAAGAGGAGAGGAAAGAGGAAAGGAAAGAGGAGAGGAAAGAGGAGAGGAAAGAGGAGAGGAAAGAGGAGACGAAAGAGAGGAAAGAGGAGACGAAAGAAGAGATGAAAGAGGAGAGCAAAGAAGAAATTAAAGAGGAAAGGAAAGAGGAAAGGGAAGCAGAGAGGGAAGAGGAGATGAAAGAGGTGAAAGGGTGGAGGAAAAAAGAGAGCAAAGAAGAGGGCAAAGAGGAGAGGAAAGAGGAGAGCAAAGAGGAGAGGAAAGAGGAGAGGAAAGGGGAGAGGAAAGGGGAGAGGAAAGGGGAGAGGAAAGGGGAGATGACAGAAGAGGGGAAAGGGGACAGGGAAGAAGAGAAGGAAGAGGAGGTGAAAGAGGAGAGGGAAGACGAGAGGAAAGAGGAGAGGAAAGAGGAGAGGAAAGAGGAAAGGAAAGAGGAGAGGAAAGAGGAGAGGAAAGAGGAGAGGAAAGAGGAGAGGAAAGAGGAGAAGAATGAGAGGAAAGAGGAGAAGAAAGAAGAGATGAAAGAGGAGAGGAAAGAAGAAATTAAAGAGGAAAGGAAAGAGGAAAGGGAAGCAGAGAGGGAAGAGGAGATGGAAGAGGTGAAAGGGTGGAGGAAAAAAGAGAGCAAAGAAGAGAGCAAAGAGGAGAGGAAAGAGGAGAGCCAAGAGGAGAGCAAAGAGGAGAGGAAAGAGGAGAGCAAAGAGGAGAGGAAAGAGGAGAGCAAAGAGGAGAACAAAGAGGAGAGGAGAGAGGAGAGCAAAATGGAGAGGAGAGAGGAGAGCAAAGAGGAGAGGAGAGAGGAGAGCGGGGTCGAAGAGGGGGCAATCTTGGCTAGAATGTTGGTCAATCATGAAGGGACGGCTGTAGCAGATGCTGCTGCTGTACCTCCAATCGCTGTTGTAGCAACAATGCTGTCTCCATTGGAACAAGCTCTGTCTGCTACAACTGCTCCTGCTGCAGTCTCGCCTGCCACAGCTACTCCAGCTATAGCTTCACCTGCTGCTACTGCTCCTGCTCCTGCTACAGCTGCACCTGCTACAGCTGCACCTGCTACAGCTGCACCTGCTACAGCTGCACCTGCTACAGTCGCTCCTGCTACAGTTGCACCTGCTACAGTCGCACCTGCTACAACTGCCCCTTTTATAGCTGTGCCTTTTTCAGTCGCAGCTGCTACAACCTCCTGTGCTACAGCTGTTACAACTGCAGCAGGTACAGGTGCAGCTGGAAACGGCATGTCTGCTATGCAGCTGCTGATGGGAGCAGCACGGAATGGCCCTCAGGCTGTGAGCAAGGCAGGTGCACGTGCACACATTGTTGAGATCGCTCATGAGGGCACTAAGGAGGGGACTCGTGAGGGCAGTCGCGAAATGACTCGTGAGGGCGTTGGTGCTGCTTCTATTGCTGTGGTTCTTTGGGAGAAGTGTGAAGTGGGGCACGGCAGTGAGGGCGGAAAGTCGGTGGTGTTTGAGTCCAGCCCAGAGGTGTGTAGAGAGGTGGGGAGTGGTGCGAATGGGAGTGGTCCTGGGGAGATAAGGGAAGAGGAGATGGGGGATGGGAAAGATGGGAAGGGTGGGCAAGAAGCGAGGGGGATTGAGGAAGGAGGGAATAAGGAAGGGGAACAAGATGGAAGGTCTGGGAAAGAGAGAGAAGGCGAGGAGGGGCAGGTTGAACTGGGGGAGGCGGTATCTGATATTAGTGAGGGTCTTGGGGGTGCTTATATGGGGTATGGGGAGGGAGATGAGGGGACGTGTGAGGGGAAAAGGGCAGAGGATGAGAGAGAGGAAGCTGGAGTAGTGGTTTATGTGAGTCCAGGGAAAGAGGAAGGAGAGGAGGGAGAAGATGAGATATTGGAGGGAGAGGAAGAGGGGAAGGAGGGGGAGGAGGGAGAGGAGGGAGAGGAGGGAGAGGAAGGAGAGGAGGAGGGAGAGGAGGGAGAGGAAGGGGAGGAGGAGGGAGAGGAGGGAGAGGAAGGAGAAGAGGAGGGGGAGGAGGGAGAGGAAGGAGAGGAAGGAGAGGAGGGAGAGGAGGGAGAGGAGGAAGAGGAGGAAGAGGTAGGGGAGGAGGGAGAGGAAGAATCAGAGGAGGGAGAAGAGGATGGAGAGAGGGATGGAGGGGAAGAGATAGAAGATATCCAGGAGGAGGGGGGGGAGGAAGTGGGGGAGGAAGGCGAGGAGGAAAATCTGGAGAAGGAGGCTGAAGAGGATGGTTCAGGTGGTGGGCAAGTGAGGGAAATCAAGAGCTGGATTCCTGGATTGGATAATTCTGGTGCTGCTGGTGATGATGATGGTGATGCTGTTGATGCTGATGGTGATGATGATGTGAAGGAAATAGGTTTCAAAACATTTCGGGGAGGCAGGGGCAGCGCACGCGGCAGGGGGCGGGCGGGAACGGCAGCGCAAACGAGACGCGGAGGAAGGAGGGGGGTTCAGGTGCGGGGCAAAGGGAAGGGAAAGCAACAGAGGGGCACAAGGGGAGGGCAGATGAAGTGGAGTATAGAGGAGGAGGAAGAGGAGGAGGAAGATGAGGAGGGGGGGTCACGTGAAGGGGGGTTGGAGCTGGTGACGGGGCCAAACGGAACGCGGGAGGCCACCATTCTGTACCTTGACTCGCTTCCAGAAAGCTCCAAGTCGCCTGCCATCTACAGCGCAATCAAGTTGTGAGTTTCATATACACGAATTAAAATATATATGTATATCTTTATGTATGTATATATATACACATATATATACATACATATATATATACATAAGAAATATATATGTATGTATAGGTATATACTATCTTCTGTGCTCTTGCTCCTGGTCTGCCTTTCCATCTGCCTTCCCATCTGTGCATGCCTTCACCAGATACATGAGGGCGAGATCGTTTTTTCTTCTGTTTTATTCAATTCGATCCTTGTGTACACGAAGGAAGTGATGGTACATCTGTTCTGAGTGAGGCGAGGAGATGGTACGTACATCTGTTCTGTTGGCTTCTTCATGTACCATCTCTCCTTTCCCCTGCATCTCTTTCATTCCCCGTCCCCCCCCCCAGTTACCTGCAGGCTGAGTGGATGAAGAGGAGCAAGGAGCCGTTGGATCCCAAGAAGCCGCTGCAATCTGGGCCGTTCAGCAAAGTGCGCGGGAAGAAAGTCAAGGTGGGTCGCTCCTGCTTCACTCGTTGCTTCTGGGAATCTCCTGAAGCACAGCCATGTGTGCACGCAGCTATGTGCTTGCAGCAGCAGGTGCATGCGTCTACTGCTCTCCTCATGGATTGCAGGGTTTTGAGACGTCACTGAAAACTCGATTGCAGGGTCGCCCTCACCTCACTGAACCCATCCATCTCCCACACCACACTCACTCCCTCGTGTAGAGAGTGATTGTTTTAGAAGTTTCAAAATTTCACTCTTTACACATTGCTGGGTCGCCCTCACTGAACCCATCCATCTCCCACACCACACTCACTCCCTTGCGCTGCTCGCCTCGCCTTGCTCCCTTCTCTCTGCTCTGCACCCAATTTCTCTCTGCTCAGGTACCAGTGCAGGACAACGACTATGACTGCAACTGAGTTGACTCCTCTCACCGTGCTTCCCTCGGCCTCCTCCCTTCTCTCTTCTCTGCTCCTTATTTCTCTGTCCAGGTGCCAGCACAGGACAACGACTATGACTGCGGTTGTTTCATCCTCTGCTACATTCAGAAGTTTGCTCAGATGGCTGCTGCTCTCCCACGCTCTGCTGATGGCGTCGCAGATAAGGTGGGCCATCTCCAACCGTCACAAACCCTCTGAAACCGTCACAAACCGTCTTAAACCGTCACAGACCGTCTTAAACCGTCACAGACCGTCTTATACCGTCACAAACCGTCTTGTACTGTCACTACCCTCTTAAAACGTCACAGACCATCTGTACCGTCACAGACCGTCTTAAACCGTCACAGACTGTCTTATACCGTCACAGACTGTCTTATACCATCACAGACCGTCTTATACCGTCGCAGACCGTCTTATACCGTCGCAGACCGTCTTATACCGTTACAAACCATCCCTTCAGCCTCTCTGAGTCCAGCTGGCATGCATCCTTCCTTCCCCCGTACCCCCTTTTTCCCCTCCCCTCCCGCCACCAGCTGAGCAACGACTGGTTCGAGGCGTGTGAAGCATCCTCTCTGCGCCGACGGCTCTTCTCCATCGTGGCCGGCATGCTGCTGCCTCAACATCCCCCGCCGCAACCCCTCTCACCCCCTTCTCAACCACTCTCAACCCCTTCTCAACCCATCGCACCACCTTCTGAACCGATCTCCCTTCCTTCACCTGCCTCGCCGGCCCTGCCCATCTCTCTGCCTCCACCTGCCTCCGTTCCGTCTCCTGCTCTTCCACCTGCTATTTGTGCCGTTGCGGCTAGTGCACTGAAACCCACCACAGCAGCAGCGGCACGAGCAGCAACAGCCGCAGCAGCGGAAGCAGCAGCAGCTGGAGCAACAGCAGCAGCAGCAGCAGCAGCAGCAGAAGAAGAACAAGAAGCAACAGCGGCTGGAACAGCAGAGAAAGAAGCAGAAGCAGAGCAAACAGCAACAGCAACAGCAGCAAAAGAATCATCAGCGGGAGCAGCAGGGAAGGAAGCAGCAGCAGCAGGTGCAGCCATCAAGGCGAAGAGGGGCAGAGGCAGACCGCGCAAGCAAGTGGAGGAGGACACAGTCAGCCCCGTTGATGCACTTTTTGCTGATGTGTGCACTATTGAGTCTACTCAAAAGGTGACTGTTGAGTCAACTCAAAAGCAAGTGGAGGAGGACGCAGTTAGCCCTGCTGATGCACATTCCGCTGATGTGGGTACAGCTGGTGCAGGTGTTACTGCCGCATCTGATGCTGATGATGCTGGTGCCAACTGGATGGCTCGTCCAGAGTCCATACAAGAAGCAGATGTGGGTGCAGCTGGTGAAGGTACAGCTGGTGAAGGTACATCTGGTGAAGGTACAGCCGGTGCCGAGGCTGGGACTGAGGCTGGGACTGAGGCTGGGACTGAGGCTGGGACTGACGCTGCGGCTGAGACTGAGGCTAGGGCCAAGGCTGAGGCTGGGGCCGAGGCAGTGGCTGGGGCCACTGGCGGTACAGTTGGGCTGGATGCTGCGTGCAGAGAGCAGTATGCTGCTCGCATGGCAGGGAATATGGAGCAAGTTGACACCCAAGGTGACAATCAAGGCGACACCCAATTTGACACCCGAAATGGCACCAGAGGTGGCACTGAAGGCGACACCCAAGGCGGCAGCAGAGAGAGCGGTGAAGCGCTGGTGGTGTTTGGCAAGGAGCCGTGGCCTGCTTGGCCCTGGCGTGCTTCTGAGCCCGTGGGTCACACTAGGCTCTCGTCCCTCTGGCCATGGCGTGCCTCTGAGCTTTCTACATGCCACGGGACTCACTCCCTGCTGCGCTGGCCTGTCATGTCTGTAGATTCTGGTGGTGGTGCCTGTGATGGTGCTGCTGCTAGTGGTGGAGGTGCTTATGTTTGTGCTGCTGGTGGTGATGGTGACTATGATGGTCGTGCTTTTGCGCCGCCGGATGTGCAAGAATCGGCGCCAGTGCTGGTTGCAGTCGTTTGGCAACCGGTGGACGACACGAGTCAACATCCACATGAAAGGAGTGCTGGCGGGGAGGGTGTTACACAACCTTTCAGGAGCGTCAAAGGTCAACATCCACATGAAAAGAGTGCAGGCGGGGAGAGTGTGACACAGCCAGGTGTAGGGAGGGATGCTGATGGGTTGGCAGGAGTTGCGGTGGAGGGGAAAGAGCGAGATGGAGCGGAAGGGGCTGAGATAGCTGGCGCGGAAAGGGATGGGACAGAAGCGGTAAAGGAGGGGGAGGAAGAAGAGTTGGTGAGGGGAAGAGCACGAGGGGGGACGAAGCGGAAGCGAGTGAAACGCAGTGCTGGGTGGAGTGGGAGGAAGAGGGTTAGGAGGGCGGTGAAGGGGCCTGAGGGTGATGGGAAGAGGAAGCAGGCTGAGGAGGAGGAGAGGAGAGAGGACGAGGGGGAGGAAAGGAGAGAGGAGGATGGAGAGGAGAGGAGGAGAGAGGAGGAGAGGGGAATGAAAGTGCGTGTGGTAGGAGGTATGGGAGAGGGAGAGGAGGGAGAGGAGGGAGGGGAGGGAGGAGAGCGGAGGGAGAGGGACAGGGATGGGAGGGGAAGGTGGGTGCTGATAAGGCTTGCAGCATCGGAAGAGGTGATTCGAGTGGGGAGGGGGGTAGAGGACGAGGACAGAGAGGTGGATATTGGTGGGATGGGGGATGAAGATGAGGAGGGGCTGGGAGGGGCTGGGAGCGAGGGAGAGGAGGGGCATGGAGTGGGTGTAGAGAGATGTTTGGAGGGAGGTGTGGAGGGAGGCGCAGGGGTGGCGAGAGGCATTACAGCAGAGGAGATTGAAGCAGCAGCAGGAGCAGCAGTGGCAGCAGCGGCGGCGGCGGCAGCAGTGGTTTCCATGGGAGAGTTTGTGAAGCAAGCACGTGCTGCTGCTGCTGCTGCCGCCGCCGCCGCCGCCGCCGCCGCTGCCGCTGCTGCTGTTTCTCCTGCTGCTGCTGCTGCTGCTGCCGCTGCCACTGGTGTGAAGGAGGAGAGGCAGCAGGAAGAGAAAGCAGCAGCAGAAACGAGAGGGGCAGGGGCACTGCCTTGGACTGGCATGGGAGTCACTGTTCAGGAATCCAAATCTGAGACGTTTCCGAAGCTCGAATCAGGCTCGGAACCGGACCAGCTGCTCAGCTTCGGCTCTGGCGAAGCTGAGTTGGATCGGCTGGTGAAGTTTGGGTTTCCGAGAGCGCCACAGGGACAGCAACGGCGGCTGGCGGGATTTGCTGATCTGTTGAAGTGGAATGGAGGGAGCGGTGGTGCGGAGGCGATGGAGGAAGGTAGAGGGGTTAGGTGCGGTGCGGAGGAGGGGGTGTGGCGGCAGTGGGTTGAGAGGTGGAAGGAGGGGAGAGGGGATGGGAGCAGCAGAGCGGGGGAGAGGATGGTTGGGACGAGGGTGGGAGGAGAAGGGATGGGAGGAGAAGAGGTGGGGGGAGAGCGGGTGGGAGGAGACGAGGCAGAAGGAGCAGAGACAGGAGGGGTAGAGGCAGGAGGGGTAGAGGCAGGAGGGGTAGAGGCAGGAGGGGTAGAGGCAGGAGGGGTAGAGGCAGGAGGGGTAGAGGCAGGAGGGGTAGAGGCAGGAGGGGTAGAGGCAGGAGGGGTAGAGGCAGGAGGGGTAGAGGCAGGAGGGGTAGAGGCAGGAGGGGTAGAGGCAGGAGGGGTAGAGGCAGGAGGGGTAGAGGCAGGAGGGGTAGAGGCAGGAGGGGTAGAGGCAGGAGGGGTAGAGGCAGGAGGGGTAGAGGCAGGAGGGTAGAGGCAGGAGGGGTAGAGGCAGGAGGGGTAGAGGCAGGAGGGGTAGAGGCAGGAGGGGTAGAGGCAGGCAGAGTAGCGGTGAGAGTTGCGAGGAGAGATTCTGAAGGAGAGGGGAGATTTACAAAGAAGGGAGGGGAGGAGGTGGAACAGGAGGAGGGTGATGATATGAAGAGTGAAGAGGAAGGAAGTAGTGAGGACAGGAGTAAGATGGAAGATGAGGGTTTCATGGAGGGGGGTGAAATATCTCCTGGTTGGAAAAGGGAGGCTGAAATCAATCCTGTGAAGGAGCAAGGCTGTGAAGGCAGGCTTGAGGGTGGGCGTGGGGATGGGGATGGGGATGGGGGTGGGCATATGATTGGCTACGAGATTGGGTATGGTATTGGGCGTGAGATTGGGTATGAGATAGGGTATGGGATAGGGTATGGGATAGGGCACGAGGTGAGGAGTTTGGGTGAGGGAGAGGAGGCGGAAGAGGTGGAGAGGAGGGGGGAAGAGGTGGAGCGGAAGGGGGAAGAGGTGGAGCGGAAGGGGGAAGAGGTGGAGCGGAAGGGGGAAGAGGTGGAGCGGAAGGGGGAAGAGGTGGAGCGGAAGGGGGAAGAGGTGGAGCGGAAGGGGGAAGAGGTGGAGCGGAAGGGGGAAGAGGTGGAGCGGAAGGGGGAAGAGGTGGAGCGGAAGGGGGAAGAGGTGGAGCGGAAGGGGGAAGAGGTGGAGCGGAAGGGGGAAGAGGTGGAGAGGGGAGGGAGCGGGATAGATAACCGGGCTTCACATGGGCGTGAGATGGAGGGGAGAGAGAGAGAAGAGGTGGAGAAGCAAGATGGGGAGGGGGAGTCAGAAGAGGGTAACAGGAAGGAAGAAGAGCAGGAGAAGGAAGCCGAGGAGAGTAAGAAAGTATGTTTTTTGAGAATTCTCAAAAAACATACGCTAGAAGAGCAGGAGAAGGAAGCCGAGGAGAGTAAGAAGCCAGCAGAGCTGGGGAAGGAAGCCGAGGAGAGTAAGAAGCCAGCAGAGCTGGGGAAGGAGGCAGACAAGAGCAAGGGAGGTGAGGAGAGGAGGGTGGATGTTCGTGAGGGCGAGGAAGAGAAGGATGAGAGAGTAGAGGCTAGGGAAGAGGAGAGAGATGAAAGGGGAGAGGCAAGGGAAGAGGAGAAGGATGAGAGAGTAGAGGCTAGGGAAGAGGAGCAAGATGAGGAAGGAAGAGACGAAGAGGGGAGAGCTGCTGGTGGTGACAGGGACGGGGCTAGAGAGAGCAAGGAGTTGAATGAAGAGGGTGAGGAGGGCAAGGGGGTGGGTGAAGGGGGTGAGGAGGGCAAGGGGGTGGGTGAAGGGGGTGAGGAGGGCAAGGAGTTGGGTGAAGGGGGTGAGGAGGGCAAGGCGACGAACCCAGAAGGTGAGGAGGGAATGGAGTTGAATGAAGGGGGTGGGGGGGCCAAGGAGGTGAATGACACGGGTGAGGAGAAAAGGGAGGTGAATCTGGAAAGTGGGGATGTGAATGAAGGGGGTGAGGATGGCAAGATTAAGAATGAAGGGGATGAGGAGGCGAAAGAAATTAACATGGTGGATATAGCGGGTGAGGAGGGAAAGGATTTTAATGAAGGGGGTCGGGGGGGCAAGGAGGTGAATGAAATGAGCATGGTGGATATAACAAGTGAGGAGGAGAATGGAGGAGAGGAACAGGGGGGTAAAGACTGTGCTGGTGGTGGGAGAAGAATATACGGGAAAGGGAGAGAGGTCGATTGGGGAGGGAGAGTGGAGAAGGAAGAAGAAGGTGAGGGGGGAAAAGGAGAAGAAATGCATGTTGTGGGGGAAGCAGAGGGGGAAGCAGAGGGGGAAGCAGAGGGGGAAGCAGAGGGGGAAGCAGAGGGGGAAGCAGAGGTGGAAGCAGCGGAGAGAGCAGCGGAGGAAGCAGCGGCGGAGAGAGCAGCGGAGGAAGCAGTGGAGGAAGCCGTGGAGGAAGCAGCGGAGGAAGCAGCAGAGGAAGCAGCGGAGAAAGCAGCGGAGGAAGCAGTGGAGGAAGCCGTGGAGGAAGCAGCGGAGGAAGCAGCGGAGGAAGCAGTGGAGGAAGCAGTGGAGGAAGCAGTGGAGGAAGCAGTGGATGAAGCAGCGGAGGAAGCAGCGGAGGAAGCAACGGAGGAAGCAGTGGAGGAAGCAGTGGAGGAAGCAGTGGAGGAAGCAGTGGAGGAAGCAGTGGAGGAAGCAGCAGAGGAAGCAGCGGAGGAAGCAGCGGAGGAAGCAGCGGAGGAAGCCGTGGAGGAAGCAGCAGAGGAAGCAGCGGAGGAAGCAGTGGAGGAAGCAGTGGAGGAAGCAGTGGAGGAAGCAGTGGAGGAAGCAGCGGAGGAAGCAGTGGAGGAAGCCGTGGAGGAAGCAGTGGAGGAAGCAGCGGAGGAAGCAGCGGAGGAAGCAGCGGAGGAAGCAGCGGAGGAAGCAGCGGAGGAAGCAGCGGAGGAAGCAGCGGAGGAAGCAGTGGGGGAAGCAGTGGGAAGGAAGAGAAGGCGGCTTGATCAGAGTGTTGCTATTAGTTCTGATTGTGCCGGCCCACCAATCAAACCTGGCGCTGTTGCTTATGGTTCGGAAACTAGTCCTGGTGACCATGCGCGTCATGACGGTAGGCTTGGTAGAAATAGGCTCGGTGAGAATAGGCTCGGTGAGGATAGGACCGTCAGCAGCAGCCTCGGTGTTACCAGCAGCAGGCCTGTGCGAAAGGCAAGTCTTGGCAGGTTCGGGTTTGGCCGAACCAGGCTGGAAGAGGGGCTCAGGTTCGGGGAGGAAATGTCGCCGGTGCTGGTGCTTCACAGGCTCGGTAGCCATCCCAAGGCTCCCCGAAGCAAGCGTCCTCGGAAGTCCAGGTTCGGAAAAGAACCACAACAAACCTGCGAAGAATTGGGTACCGTGAGGAGGTCCGGCAGAGGTTCAGGGGGTCGCAAGAGGAAACGAAATAATAATTCTGGAGAACCCACTTCAGGCAATCGTGGAAAAGCTGCTGCTGACAGTAAGGGAGAGGCTTATAATGAGACTGAATCAGGAAGAGGGATGAGTGAGGGAGTGCTGGCACATGCAGCAGGGAGAATGGAAGGCGGGGAGGCAACAGGGAGAGGGGAAGAGGGAGAGGCAAGAGATGGCAAGAGAGTGAATGTTGGAGAGATGGAAGCAGTGACAGGAGACGGTGTTCGATCCATATTTGTCAACGCCGGCATGGGCCCTCTTGATTCCAGTCCGCCTGCTGCCTTGGCCTTGGAACACCGCTCTCCCCTTCCTCTGCCCCTGTTGGTCCCTCCTTCTTCCCGCCCTCTGCCCCTGTCTGCCCCTTCTTCCCGCCCTCTGCCCCTGTCTGCCCCTTCTCCCCGCCCTCTGCCCCTGTCTGCCCCTTCTCCCCGCCCTCGCCTCCTGGTGCTCCCCTCACTCGTTTCTCTGCCACTGCCTCGTCCTCTTGCTCACCCCACTCCTCCTCCTCCTGCTCCTCCTCCTGCTGCTTCTACAGATGCTACTGCTATTCCTGCCAGTCCTCCTCCTCCTCCTGCTGCTGCTGCTCCTGCTGCTTCTACAGATGTTGCTATTCCTGCCTCTCCTTTACCGCACTCCTCTCCATCCCTCCACTCCCCTTCGGCCCTCCACCCTCCTCCATCCCCCCACCCTCCTCCATCCCCCCACCCTCCTCCATCCCCCCACCCCCCTCCATCACCCACTCCTATCGCCCCTAGCTCGCCTCCTCCTCCTTCTCCCTCTCCTCCTGTGCCCACTCCATCAATCGCTGCTCTAACGGAAAGACACACTGTGACTGAAGACGGGGGTGACAGCAGTGAAGTCCGAACCTGTCCCTTCTGCCCCTCACTCTCCTGCTCTGCTGCCCACTCCATCAACCGCAACCGCTGCTGCTCCAAAGGAGGACAGTCACACTGTGACTGAAGAACGGGTGACAGCAGCGAAGGTCGAGCCACCTGCTGTGACTGCAGGCATTGAACCTGCCTCTGTGACTATAAGGGATGAGAAGGACGAGCCTGCTGGTGTGGCTGCAGTCCTTGAACCCTCTGCTGTGACTGTAAAGAGAGAGATCTCCGAGCCTGCCACTCTGACTGCTGACCGTGACCCCATCAATGTGACTGTAGAGGGTGAAAAGGATGAGCTGCCTGCTGTGACTGTACAGAGTGTGATGGATGAGGACAATGAGAAGGATGGAAAGGATGAGAGGGATGAACCTCCCGCGATGACTGCAGGCCTTGAACCGGGCGCTGTGACTGTAAGCGATGAGCTGCCTGCTGTGACTGAAAAGGATGAGCCAGCTGCCGTGACTGTAGAGAGTGTGATGGATGAGGCCAATGAGAAGGATGACAACGATATGAAGGATGAGAAGGATGAGCCGCTTGCAGTGACTGCAGCCCTTGAACCGTCCACTGTGACTGTAATGGATGAGAAGGACGAGCCTGCTGCTGTGACTGTAAGGGATGAGACGGATGAGCCGCCTGCAGTGCCTGCAAGCCTTGAGCCCGCCTCTGTGAATGTACAGGATGGGACGGACGGGCTGCCTGCTGTGACTGAAAAGGATGTGCCACCTGCTGTGACTGCAGAGGATGTGAAGGCTGAGACCATTGAAAAGGGCGAGCCTCCCGCTGTGTCTGCGGACTGTGATCCCACTGCTGTGAAGGATGAAAAGGATGAAAAGGATGAGAAGGATGAGAAGGATGAAAAGGATGAGAAGGATGAAAAGGATGAGAAGGATGAGAAGGATGAAAAGGATGAAAAGGATGAGAAGGATGAGAAGGATGAGTCACCTGCTGTGACGGATGAGCGCCCTCCTGTGGCTGTCAAGGATGTGCCACCTGCAGTGCCTCTAAAGTTTGCACCCTCCCCTGTGGTTGTAAAGGATGAAGCTGCTGACACCGATAACACACCTCCACTACCTGCCGCACGTTGCCGGCCATTTGCCGGGCGGCGCACGGTGGCCCACGGACTCATAATCAGATCGGGCGTCTCAGCAACAAAGAAGGAGAATCGCAACACTCTAACCACCGGCCAACCGGGCGGCGCACTGTGTCTTATGCCCCCCCTTGGAGTTCACTCACCTGCCGAACCTTCCAGGCTGCCTGGGCTTTCCGTCGCGGCCCTGGAGGATCGGAAGGACAAGGGTCGGAAGGATGACTCACCTGGTGCTTATGATGCCCTGCAGCAGCAGCAGACTGCATCCCCTGTGGTTCTTGCTGCTACCAGGGTTGCACAAGACCCTGGTGTTTCACCTGAGTCTCTGTTGCAACCTGGTGATTTACCTGAGGGTCAGATTCGCCATGAAGAGCAGCCAGGCTGTCAGGAGATTCCAGCAGAGGCAGCAGCTGAGGGAAGGACCGATGGCGTGGCAGAAGGGGGTCCTGCCACATCAGCAGCACCTGATTCGATCACACCTGCCATGTCAGCGGAGCCCGACAAATCGTCCATGTCAGCAGAGCTTGGCATGCCATCCTCGTCAGCAGACCCAGTCGCTGCTGACATGCCAGCAGAGCTGGTTGCTGCGTGCCTGGGAGCCAATCGCGTGCTCCGATCACGGAAAGCAGCGCCGCCAGCAGCAGCAGCAGCAGCAGCAGGAGGAGGAGGAGCAGCAGAAGCAGGAGGAGCAAGAGGAGTAAAGGCGACTGCAGGAGTGAAGTCAGAAGTAGGATGCAAGGCAGGAGGAGATGCATTGAAGACACCACCACAACGGGGGTTGAAAGCATCACCACAGGGCCTGACGTGGTCACATGGAGTGAAGGGGAATCAAGGCCTTGCTCGATCACCCGCCCAAGCTAAGTCACAAGGGCGTAAAGGGGTGAGAGGTGTGAGAAAGGGGAGAGAGGGAACGGGGGAGAAGAGTGGATTGGGGAAGAGAAAGGTTGGGAAGGCTAAGGGGAGAGGGAGGGGTGCTAAGAGGAGGCGAAAGGATGACGAAAGTGAGGAGGAGGAGAGTGAGGAGGAGGATGAGGAGGATAGTGGGCAAGAGAGTGAGGAGGGAGGTGGAAGGGAAGAAACACAAGAGGAGCTCAGGGGGAGAAGGGCGGGAGGGTTGGCAAGGGGGTTGGATGGAGGAGTGGGGAGGGAGGAGGAGGGAAGAGAGAAGAAGGTGAGGAGAGGGCGTGGTGGTAGCAAGGAGACACGTGATTGGGAGGAGGAGGAGGAGGGAGATGAAGGGAACAGGGAGAGTCACGGTGGTAACAAAAAGATTGTGGGGCAGGAATTGGGAGAAGGGGGATTGGTGGGGCCGGAGTATATGTGGCGCGATGGAGGGAAACAGTACCGGAGGAGAAAGCGGAGGTAAGCGCAGGAGAACTTCAAAGGCGGAGGTAAGTGCAGGAGAACTTGAAAGGCGGAGGTAAGTGCAGGAGAACTTGAAAGGTGGTTGGGCTTTAAGGAGTGTAGTGAGTGAGTGAGCAAACCCGCTCTTCAGGATGGGTGAGGGGAGGAAAAGGAGGATGGAGGGACTGCAGGGAATGAGCAAGTGAACTCCTTGGAGGAGCAAAACACACGCCCTCCACAAACAATGCAGGTAAGGAGGGTAACGTGGTAGTTGGGAAAGTTTAGGGGTGCAACTGCACCATCTGATACCTGTAGGATGTAGTGTGAGTGGAGTATACGGTACTGTAGATACACCACCGACCACTGAACAAGTTGTGGTCGGCTATCATTTTGGTGCAGTGCTGTGCTCGGTATTTTAGCCATAACTCTTTGGTACACATTATCTTGGTGCTTATCGAATCAGCATAGCCTTTCTACAGTGGAGCCTGAGCTACTTGTAATCCTGAACGTGCACAACACAACCAGCATCTGCATCAATCATCTGTATGACAGAACAGGAAAGAACCTACAGTCCCATCATTTCAGGAGATTCATGGGGCAAAGGTCCCTCTAAAAGCAGCATCATTGGGAATAGAGCGTATGTTGCAGCCACAGGAGAGGAGATTATGTGGGTGAAGAAAATGTAGCTGGTTCTGGGGTACCATACCATGTGTCATGAATCAAATCCAATCTTTTATACTCCGATACATATACATATCAGCTGTTATGTCTTCAGAAGCCATGGGCCTGCAAGCTCAATGTGCGTCTGCCAGCTCAACATGGGTAAGTCGGTTCCACATGTGCCTCATCATAACCTGCAGTGAAAAGAAGGCGGGTAGCAGGTACGTACGATGTGACCCAGGGTGAGGCAGAGTGATGCGAAGTGATGCCGCGTGCAGTGCAGAGTGATGCACGGTGATGCAGGATGGTACAGGTGTGAATGCAGGGTGATTTATGGTAGTGCGGAGTGATGAAAGTTGAATCACGGTAATGCAGGGTGATACACAATAGTGCAGGGTGATGAACGGTGTGCCTGATAGAAGCTGGCGAGTAAACAACGAATCTGAGCTGGAAACACAGCAATTTCTCAATTGTTACCAGTCTCGTGTTACCTACTCGTTGCAAACCGGTCTCGTTATACGTCACCGTTACTAACCCATCTCAAACGCGTTACTGGCTGGCGGTGACGGTGAGCTCGCCCTTGTCCAGCGCGTTGTACAACTCCTCCGTCTTGCGCTTCTCGTTGATGTGACCCATCTTCCACAGCGACCCGCCTGCCACGCAGCAATGAAATCGCACGGGTATTACGTAAGTATGGCACTTAGGCGCCTCATAAATAGCTTTGGGTTGATGTGACCTATCTTCCACAGAGACCCGGCCACGCAGCAATGTTATGTCAGCAGGATTGCGTTAGCCTCGTAATAAGCTTCGCGTTAACGTGGCTCGCAGCGAGTGCCAGTTTACAAGTACAAAACGAGCACTCCGTGAAAAGTCCTCGCGAATCTTTCAAGGTTCGCGTCTCCATGCTTCAGAAACATTTTACACGAAGAAGTCCGACAAACTTCATGAATAGAAAACAAGACCGTTGAGCGATTCGAGAGTAAGGTCAGGACGCAAGGTAAGAATGTCGTGGAAATGCCAGGGAAGGGGTTGGTGCAGGGACGGCGCCATTGAGGAGGAATAAGCGACGCTGCTATACTGAGTACAAAGCGACGCTCATGTACGAAGTGATAAGTGACTCTGTTGTACAAGGTAATAAGCGACGACGGACCTACGGCACCGAGGCTAAGGCCAGCGGCGATCTCGAAAATGACGCTCGGGCCGCCCTTCTTGGCGACAGCCGCACCGTGAGCCGCGATCTTGTGAGCAGCACCCATGTCGGCGAGCGGCGAGATCTGGAGTGGAGAAAGGTGGATCGAACGTGAACGGTGGCGGGATTCGCGGCGAGTGTGGTAAGAAACGGCGACGGAGCTGGGTGTAGGTGTAGGTGGGAGCTGACCTTTGCGTTGTGACAATGGCGGGGGCCTGGGTGTGCTAAAAAGAGCAGGGTCGGAGTTCTCAAGGCGAGAAGTTCCCTGGGCGAAGAGTTCCCCTGGCGTGGAGTTTCCAAGGCTAGGGGCGCGTGTCTAACCTTTTGGTGTAGACGTTCGAAAATAGGGTCAAACCTTTTGCTGGTAACCCGTTTCAATATCCTCGCTAAAACTTTCGCGAGGGAATCGTGTGTCCTGGTTCAAACTGTGTGAAGGAAGTTGGACACTAAACTGAAGTCGACCAGCGTTCGGATTTTAACGTTAACCTTTTCCCAATTGTGTGTTCTTTGACGCACGCCCAATTTTTTGCGAGGTTCACGACAATGACGAGGGAAAATGTATCGGGCTACCAATTTCGGTTCCGGTCACGAACTGCACCGCACAGCCGGGTAACCTACAGAAGTCAAGCGCGACTTGTAATCTGCTGTTTAAAGTTGAACTCTGATATTCGAACTTCGTTGTTCCATGCGCGACTCGGAATTGCTGACACTGCTCCTCGACCACGAAAAGTCAAGATGGTCGACCACAGGTCGACCAAGGTTCGAATGTGTAAATTCTAGGGTTTTTATACGGGCCGTCACAAAACATTTCGGAGTTATCACGAGCAGTCATATGTTTCGCCAAATCTATCACGGACAGTCACAAAATCTGCCAAATCTATCACGAACCGTCACACGGATATCACCCGCCGTCACTCAAAGGCACTAATTTCTATCACGGGTAGTCACACTCGAAACTTTGCTATCACAGATGAACCCTCTCATCATTTCGTTGACCCGCCCTGAAACACTGTACAGATTTAGGGACTATATTTCGGATTGCTGGCTTTTGTCCTGTATACGCGACCATTTTGGGTGCAAAGATACCTAGTTACTTTCGAATCGACGTAACACACTTTTGTTTTAAAATTTTTATGAAAGAATTCGAACGCATATATGCATACATCGCTAGAGTTCACAATTCACTGAATCTGCCTACATGTTTATCAAAATGCTAAATAATCCATAGCTTGGAACGCAAATTTTATATTTCTTCATACAGATGATGATATAAATTGTGCGTTCCAAGTTATGGATTGTTTAGCATTTTGATAAACATGTAGGCAGATTCAGTGAATTGTGAACTCTTGCAATGTATACATATACCGTCACCCCCCGGATATAAGCGCCACCCTAGGATAAGCGTCTGGCGCTTCTAATTGGCATATGGCGCTTATATCCCCTGCTCGATTATAAGCGCACCCCCTGAAAAAACTTGTTTTATTATAAGCGCACGTAAACTTATTTTTTTGAAATGTGTTCAAAACGCTTCAACGATTTCTACTTTAGCAGGCAGATGTTTTGCAGATTCGGTTCCCTTCACATTCGTGTGAAAAGAATGAACAGGAATGAAATGACTAAGTCAGAGTTGGGTACAAATACAACCCTAGAAAGCTGTACCCCGTATGTGCTACCCCACTATAGCCTACAAACATGCATCAGCTATAATAATCGGACACACCCCCATAGGCAAAGTGGGGGAGAACAAGGGGTCACAAGACCAGTCAAGCAAAGCAAAGCAAAGCAAGCTCAGGGTGGATCACAAAGTCACCACACAGTCCGAGCACAAGAGCAGGGCCAGAGGCCAGTTCACATGCAGGAGTACAGACATATATATAAAACTAGACAAGCAAGAGTAGGTATATATATATGTCACAGTACAAGTGAAGTCAAGAGGAGAGCAAGTGAGGCAAGACAGGCACAAGACCCAGCTGGGTGCAAAAGCGCTGATGGTCACAAGGCGCGAGTGCCTTGGTGAACACATCAGCAGTGTTGGCCTCAGAGGCCACGTACGCAAGTCGCAACTGACCACGCTGCTGCAGCTCACGAGCAAGGAAGTAGCGGAGAGCAATGTGTTTCGTTCTGTGCTCCAAGCGCTGCTCTCGACACAAGGCCAGCATGGCCTTGTTGTCTACGTACAGCACTGGAGGAGAACGAGGCGGCTCTCCAAGGTCAGTCAGCAGGTAGGTGAGCCAGCGAAGCTCCTGTGCAGCCATGGCCCCTGCGTAGATCTCAGCCTCACAACTCGAGCTGAGAACCGAAAACGAGCGAGTAGCCCGCCACGAGACAGAGCCGGAGCCAAGGCTGAAGGTGTAACCCTGTGACGACCGCTGCGTAGCCTGGTCGTCAGCCCAAGAAGCGTCCGCGTGGCCGGTAAGGACCACTGGACTCCGCCCTCCAAGCACTAGCCCCATGCCTGACGTACTGCACAGGTAGCGCAATACCCTCTTCGCTGCAGCCATTTGCTCTGGTCTGTGTCTCCCAGGAGCAACATAGCGTGCAAGAATGCTCAGAGGGTATGCAAGGTCAGGTTGTGTGCAGGTCATCAGGTACATGAGGCAGCCAACAAGCTCTGCATACGGACCACTCGACTCTACGGACTCATCCGAAGGCAGAGCTGAGAGTGAGTGGCGAGTAGGCAGAGGAGTGGCCTGAGGCGAGGAGTACGTGAAGCCGAAGCGCTGAAGGACCTGCTGCACCATGTGTGACTGAGTCAAGGTAATGGTGCGGCGTGCTCTGTCCCGAGTGATCTGCAAGCCAAGGTAGCTGCGCAGTTCACCCAGGTCTGTGCACGTGTGTCTCTTCAGCAGCTCGGACTTCACGTAGGCGAGTCCAGCAGTGTCCGCTGTGGCAAAGACCAAGTCGTCGACGTACACGAGGATGTAGAACGGCGGCAGGGAAGTGTCGGTGCGAAGAAACAGCGACGGGTCAGCAGTAGAAGGAGCAAACCCAAGGGCCGCAAGCGTAGTCCTCAATGTGTCGTGCCACTCACGCGGTGCCTGGCGGAGACCGTAGACTGGCCGTCGGAGGCTCCACTGGGTGCCAGGAGAGAAAGTCCCAGTGAAGCCAGGTGGACGGCGAAGCCAGATCTCCTCGTGCAGGCTACCCTGCAAGAACGCAGTGCTGAAGTCGAG